TATATATATATATATATACACATATATATGGTAGTTTTTTTAATTATTTTCATTTTTTAGATATATTTAAATTAAAAAGAATAACCAATAACTAATTTAATAACTAATTATGCCATGTGTCATTATATTATTCTGCCATTTGGCTTCATGAGGTACTTTTGTCTGCTTTTAATTATAGATAGATTTGCTGTTCGAGAAAGTGAGTAAAGCAGCGCGTCAATCCTACGAACAAAGCTATAATAGAAGGTGACAAGCACGTCTGTGGATGACAAGTTTTGTACGTTCTAACAAAATTCAGGTAGCGAGTTTTGGGGTCTCGACGACCCATCCACTTAAAAGGTCAAAGGGGTTGATTCAACAATTGCACAAGTTCTGTTACTTCAAGTTTGTTTTTACTTGTCTTAATTTATTGTGACCAGAGCGTAACTAGTATGAATGAAGATTCACCATGTAACTAGTATGAATCAAGATACGTGGTAAATCATACCTATGAACAGAACATGGAACTAGAATTGAGTTCTAGATCTAGAGAAAATTAAAATTTAACTAGAAATCCCCACAGACGGCGCCAAATTGTTTGACTCAAAAGATATTACAACCTTTTTGAACAAATCAATTAAAGAAAATGAAGGGGTAAATCCTAATTAAGAATAATTAACTTTAGATCCGAGATGAATAATACGAACTAAAAAACATAGCCGAGTATAAATGTTGACGGCGATTATGGCCAGATTTAATAGCATAAAGAAAGATGCATTAAACGACAATAAAATGTAAATAAAGGAAAAGATTCACCCAATCTTGAGTGAGACAGATCTTCTTTCATTTGATAAAGATGAATGATACACAAATATAAGAACCTTAGGACACTTTTTGGATCTGATGAAAGTATGAGATCACAGATCCTCTCATCTCTTTGGAGAGGTGTGTTTACATATTTTCTAGAAAGAGGGAGAAAGAGAGAGATCCCCCTTTTTGGGAAGTCCTCTCTTCCTATTTATAAGGGGTATTCCTAGAAAAACACTAAAAGAAAAGGTACAATTAAAGAGAATATTCAGTAGAATATTCCTTTTGAGGATCCCAAAGCAGATTAGTTGTTTCATCACTGCCCGACCTCGGCCTGTCCAACCTCGACCTTATTGATGACTGTCCGACCTCGGCCTATTCGGCTTCGGCCTTATGTCTCCGCGTGCCAAATTTCTCTGATATAATTTTGACCCATACAGGGACCGTTTGAGTAAAATGATGATATATTAATCCTTTTCACAAGGTGATTAAGCGTCTAGTCCAGGATCAAACTTTAACTCCTAATATGATTATTTTCTCACACAAAGGAGGGGAAAAAATGAGCAATTTAATTAAATTTCACTTTTAAATAGTAATTTAAGTGTAATATTTAATCTTCAAATATTATATGCTGCGAGCACGCAGTCTATTACCAAGATTATGCACGCTTATCTCCCAAGCCCGTGCCGTAAGGGACACTTCATATAGCTAAAGTAAAGCTCGGCTCAATGCATTTGCCTGATCTCACCTTTCTTCTAGAAAACAATATAGATATAGGGACAAAGTACACGTAAATCTCTTTATGCAATGTTTATACTTAATCCTTTTATGTTCGGTGTCCGATACTTGCATAGGCGTAAATTAATTCGAATTGGCGCTGCTTAAAGCTCATTAAAGGAGAAAGATGCTCCTTACTAGGACTTTTTCATTCCTAGGACTTAACCGGAAACCTTTAGTTAAAGGTGAAAAGATCAAATCTATCCCACCATAATCTTTGGGTGTTCACAGTTTACACCTCATTCATGCTACTCAGGGGCGAGACCACCTTTTACAAAGGGTGTCAACTGACCACCCTTCACTGAAATATTACGAAAAATTATACTGTGTATAACTGTATATAAGTAAAATATTGATTTTAGATGTATAAAATATATATTGAACACCCTTTGTCGGGATTTTTTTTTAGTTCTTTCAAGTCTAAACACCATTGGAAACATTTCTGGCTTCGTCACTGATGCTACTTGTCCAACAATCACATGATAGCATTTACTCCCTCCGATCAATAATAAGTGACATTTTTGCCTTTTTATTTTTGTCCGAAATAAGTATCCTTTTACATTATCAAGAAGGAATTTTATTTTTCCAAAAACTATCCTTATTTACATATCCCAATGTATCAAGATAACAATTAATTATGGTAATGTAGTGAATACATTTTTTTTCTCCGGTAGTTCGTATTTTCTTAATGCATTTTTTTTTCTCCGGCAGTTCGTATTTTCTTAAGGGGTATTTCAAAGACTGAAAAGTCACTTATTATGAATAGGAGGGAGTACTTATCACATAGTGGGTGTTTGAATTGACTTATAAAAAGTAGCTTTTAAGCTAAAAGTCATAAGTTGGTAATACCCAACTTTTGGCTTTTGGCTTATTTTTGTATTTTTTATGCCTAAAAATAAATGCTTTTAAGCACTTTTTATCATTTTCAAACACTACACAAACTAAAAAAATACTTAAAAACCAATAAGCACTTAAAATAAGCCAATCCAAACACCCTCATAATCGGACAATCAAGATTACGCTAGACGTTAGTTACTCGCTAGGCAAGATAGAAATCATCATCAGTTACGTTTGACAAATACTGCTGCCACCACCCAATGCTGCACTCATCTTCTATTCTGGTCAAAGAAAAACTCAACGGAATTCACTTGGGTTCACATTCATCTGCGTC